AATCTCTTGTAACTATTTCATACTAAAAGTGAAAGCATTGACTCGAAGTGTCTAGGACTGTTTTTCCTTCTGTGATTGTTCTTCTCAGGTTTGATATCCTTCTCTGTCTAGGAACCTCTTAAATATGGCTACCTACTCTATTTTCTGAAGACGTAAGATGACAAAATATCCCACAGGCTGTTTATTTCCTCCTCTTCTGTGTAGTTCCTATTGCTGCTTCCTCATCAAGTCACTCTAGTTTGTTTAAAGATCTTTTGTGTTGCTTTGCTAGAAGGTGACATGGGAAAGCTCCAGGGCTTCGTATCAGAATTTTAAAATTCCTTATGTTTTTGCTTGATTTAAAAATGTAGGTAAAACCAAATTCTCACTGAGGAGTCCATGTATCCATGTTGCTTTCTCCTGATCTCTTTTGCAGAAGAGGTGCAGCATCAGGGCTTGCTAGGAATGCTTTAGAGGTCTGTTCTTGCTCAGCTGGGAAGTTAGCTCGCACCAGTTCAGAGACCTGCACGCTAACTACTGGACGCTTCTGGTGGTTTTGTGGGAGGAATCCCAAACTTAGAATGAACTTCATGAAGATGTTGAAGTCCAGTAATTTCTGCTTAGGACAAAGTTCAGCACCTTAAGTTGCTTCTACAATAATAATTTACATTGACATTTCATAACATTAATTTTTATTGACTAGGAATCATTAAAACTTACAGGCCATATTTTACTCACAAATTGTTATATTTAATATTGCTTCTTGCTTATCTGAAGAGGGCTATATCTGGTGCCTTTAAACAATTACACATTAAGCATCAGAATAAAACCAAATTAACTTCATACACAGTTGGCAGATTAGTTCTTGTAACTCTTGTTGAGCTGCACTTGGATGGAAATTAGATTTTTTTGTGTGTGTGTTTAATGTACTCCCAAAATATTTTATTTTAAACACTCATACTGTGCTAATACACTTTCAAAACTAGCATGCATTGCATTTTATTTATAGCTAATTATTGAACTGATTGCTTCTGATTGCTATGTTCTGAAAGATCATTAGAGCTGATAAACCTACCTGATAATTTTTTTCTCCTTTTCTAGAGTTTGTAGGAAGAAAATAAGTCTTTCTGCTTTTCCACTTTCTAGTTAAATAACTTAAAACTGAGTGGTCACAGGATTGAACTGATGAAACTATTTTCTTATTTCTTTAAGAAGCAATAAGAGACGGAAAAAGCAGTGTTTCCAAGTGCTTAGGATGTCTTTGCCGTATTGTACTGTTGGCAGCCTATGTTATCCTGCTTGAAAGTTTTATCACATAAGTTACTTTATTACGTTATAGTAAACATAGGCATAAATATCAACTATCAGATTTTTAAGTCTGTGTATTAAAATGATTGTAATTCACGTTATTTTGTTAAATGATTTGCAGTTTAGATTCAAACTAAATTAAAAGATTTAATACACCGGATATAAAAAACCCCACAACCCCAAAACACAACCAACCTCAAATGCATCTTAAGACCTTTGCTGTATGAAAGCTTCATGGTTTGTCTTTTGGCTCTACAGAAAGGTTCCTTTACGAGGCTGAGAAATGAAGTGGTACTGGAATGTACTCGGTACATGTGTAAGATCTGCATTTTTCTTCTGAAGCTGCTTATGCTGTGCTGTTGCCTGGCAGTAGGGATGATAACCTACGAGAGCTTGGAGCTGATTGTTGGAAAGCTTGTGTATCTCCCTCTTCTGAATCATGGTCTTCTCACAGATTAGGCCTAGGATCACTAGAGAATAGTTGTTCTTTTGAAGTTCTCATCTCCTTCTAATTGTGTTTTTGGTGTTTCCTTCTTCTTCGTTTCAAGGACTCCTTTTTGCAGTAGGAAATGGGAGCAGTGTGTGTGACATCTGGAAATAAAGTGGGTATCCAGTTTTGGCCTACAAATTTCTGAGGTTTCTTTGTTACCTCTCATAGAAGATAGTGATTTTTACTGCTTTTTCTCCTTGGATGAATCTCATGTCATCTTGGATCTGAAATCAGTCAAGCTCAGACTTGTTAGAGATGATGTTTTCAAATAAGGGAGTTGTCCCCAGTTTTTCCAAGGTTCACGATTCACCAAGGACTGGGTAGACTAGGACAGCACATGGTACTACTATGCTTCTTAAGGAGATTAGCTTCCTGATCAGGAAAATCTCCATAAAATGTAATGTGGAATCACATAATTATTTTTCATAGTAAATGAAAAAAAGGTCTACTATTATTCAACATTGGATTATGGCATTTTAAGGATATTCTTGGTTTCCATATCCACCTGTTTCCTGTTTATTGAACGGTTCATTTCTGTAAATGGCAAATTTGAAGAGATAAGTGTGGCCTGGAACTTGGGATAATGCACACAAACGTGGTGATCTTTGAGTCTGATCTCTGGCAGTTTTTGGTCACCGTACCAATTTGAAGGTATTTTACTTGCTTGCAGGTTGAAGTGGTCGAATGTACATGTGTTGGATTTGACAGAAATCTCAAGCTTGTGATGTATTTCTTGTTTATCTGCCATGACCTTTCTGAGGAACTTTATGAACTAGGATGGAGAAACTCATCTGAATCATTTACAGATCAGGACTGTGACATCACTAAACCTGTCAATTTGAGTGTTTATAGAACTTGACCATGTTCCTGCCACTTCTGAAAGGGTCTCTAAATTAAATTTTAACAGGCAGTAGTTAGTATGTATTAAATGGTTATAAGGTCAGCAAGCCATTCTGTTGTGGAGTTGATGCAGGAGTCACAAAAGTTTTTTGATGGTGTGTTTTTTTTTTTTTCTTTTTTTTAAACACAAAATAATGTGTAAAATCACCTGAGCAGAGCATTAAAATGTCACCAAAATCTGTTTGTTAATTCTTCAGAGTGCTTGGGAAATGCCTTCTCTTTAGCTTCTCAGGATGCCTTCAGATACATGATATGATGGAGCCTTTCCGATGACTCTGAGAGCTGGTGCCTAAGGATAACAGGGAGCAGTAGCCTTTTTACAAGTCCTAGAGTGGCCTGAGCATTTTAGTACCTGAACCTAGCACATCTGTTGGTACAGTTTCCCTTCCATTTGAGACATCTGATCATGGCTTCTGACTCTTAAAAACCTTTAAATGTGACCAGGGTACTTTCATATCAAGCATTCAGCATAGAAACCACTGAAGTTCTGTTTCCGAGTTTAGTGAAATCTTCAAGTCTATTCCTTAAATTTTCTTGGGCTTCCAGCTTAGCCTGTCTTCTGATCTTGCTCTTTCTCTTCCACCTCCTGTCTTGTGGTGTATAGTTACCAAATTTATGGGAGATATAACAGAAAGGTCCAACACTTTCTGCTGATACTCAGCTGTGTAAAACTGTGTGCTGAGTAGGCAGATTCCTGTTAAGTAATGGCTCAGTTGACAAGTCAGATGGTTTCCTGATCCTGCCTGTGTTGAGATGCAGAACCGCAGTTCAGCGTTCAGCTGCTTTTGATGCTGCTCCCTCATTGGAGCTCCAAGATCACTAGCCAAACTTGAGAAATTAGATAGTCTCCATTTGCTTAAAATTCCTCAAGTGCTCTTCTGTGGCCAGGTAACTGTATGCAACAGGAGAGTGAGTCACATGGAGAAATACTTCAGGAGGAACAGGCAATTACTTTTTACTAATTGAGGTTTATAGACATTCTGTTTGTGCCAGTCCAGGTATTGCCTGCCTTGGCTGAGAAGGTGTTTTGGGTTTTTTTTAATAACTCTAATGAAGTGAATTTAACACTTGGGACACCTGCTTATTGCAGTGGAATTTGCATAGTTAGTAGGTACGTAAGGACTGTGTACTGTTCTTGCAGGACAGGGTGGATCTTAAAGAACAGGACTACTCTAAATCTCTTTATGTTTGCAGATAGCAGGTGAAAGTGATCCAGCGGCAAGAGAATACGCTAACTTAAAGCAGCCACTAAAGCTCCTAAATTAATGAATTACGGGCACAGTTAGCCAGTGATTAATTTATCAATTTTGCAACTACTAATCAACCTAGTTTTGGTTTTCTGTTGATGAAGAATTATTTGAATTTGGACTGGTTTTGTTCTCTGCTCTTATAAAGGTCCCTAAACCTAGAAAGTTTCCTAGAAATGGGTCATCTTGATTTTCTGAAACTGATCATAAGTTGCTAGCTTGCTTTCAGATTCTCTGGATGTTCACAGATGTTCATATCTTAAAGGTGGTGATGTTTTTTAGGATACAGTAGCAATTTTCTGAACAATAAGGTATCAAATCGTACATTTTCATAGGACTTCTTAGCGTTTGCAGCCAGGGTCCTCTTTCCAAGATGCTTCCCTTGTTCCTTTACCATAGTACAAATGCCTTTAATGTATTTAACCTTGCAGTAACTCTCAGACAGGAAAATGCTTTTGTTTCCGCTTTATTCCTGGGATTTTGACATACAGATGTTTAGGTGTCCTGCTGAAATTCATAAAAGGAAGCCTGTGGTGAAGAGGAGAGTGAAAGCCTGGTCTCTGGAGACTGGTGATAGTACCTTATTCCTTTTTTGTTTGGTTGGTTTTGTTTTTGTTGTTGGTTTGTTTTTTTTTTTGTTTCCCTAGCTTGTCTTTTCCTGCACCTGGTTGAATATTCAGTTAATACTTTAAATTACCAACATTTGATTTCCGAACCAATAGTGTGTGTTTGTTTTTTTTCTTTTAGAAGTCTAGTGAATATATGGGCACAAAGAACCAGTATATCTAGTTTTCCTCAATAATGAGACTTCACATCTGGTGCACGTGTGAGATAGTTTGGGTTTTTGCTTGCTTGCATCAGCTGGGATGTAACGGAATCCCAGAGCTTTGGGGTATTTATCTGTGGGCTGTAGAAGCTGTGCCCTGAAGCTCTACTCAGTCCTGTAGGCGCAGCGTGGACATGTGGAAGACTACTTGATAAGCCTTCATGGAAATAGTAAATTCTATAGATTAAGCCCTCAGTACCTCAGCATAATTTACCAGGGTTTGTTTTTCTTTCTGGATTTACAGAGATATGAAAAATGCTGTAATTGGAAACAACAAACAAAAAGCCAACTTGATTGTTTTGGGAGCAGTTCCAAGGTATGTCCTTTGCTACTCTCCTTTTCACTGATTCACAACAGCTCTGGAATAATGATCCTTAGATCACAGGCACTTTTTTATTTTAACTTTGTAGTTGACTGCATACTTTAATGTAACTGAGAGACACTTGAAATATCTGTTAAACTCATGTATTGCGGACCAGGCTGATGAGTAATGCTTTTAATTTAGAATTTCATAGAATTCTCTAAAGTAGTCTTGGTGATTTTTAATAAACTTTATCAGCTCAGGAATGAAATCTTAATTTCTGACACTGATGATATTAATGATGGATGAAAGTGGTTGTAACTTAAGCCAATTGCCTGGTGAGCTCACAAGTGAAAATGTGTAAGGTTATGTTAAAAATATAATTTAAAAATATTAAAAAAAATCTGAGATAATTTGCTTGTCTTCTTCACCTGCTTCAGAGGATTAAAAATTATTGATCATACGTTATTGCTGAATTACTGCTTCAGCTGATGTTAACATTTTCTGGATCCTGATTCCACTAGTACAAATTTAACAGGTAACTTTAGCTATTGGATTGCTCACTGCAGCTTTCATTTCACTCCTCTTCTCCTCCAGCTTTCTTTCAGCCAGAATTTGCAGCAATGGAGAAGGAAAACATTGAGCACTGCATTGCTTGTGCTAGCAGTGTGAGACCCACCTATGATCCTTTTCCATTTAAATGGCAACTAGGTCCCAAACCGTCCTGCTTGAGAGAGCTGCTTCTGGCCTGTCAAAAAATGTGTTTTATTTGCAGGGAATATCTTCTTATTTACAGATTGAATTTGTGTCAAGGCTAGTCCTTTAAATTCTCTAGGATTAGCTGTGGGGAAACCCCCTCTACAAAACCTGCTGAATTATCTTCCGTTTTGACCAAATATAAACAGGTGAAGAGAAGACTTCACATGAGATGAAAAGATCGAAGTGGACATTTGTTGAAGACTATGCAAAGTTTAAGGAATTTTTTCAGCAACAGGCCCTAAGGGATTCTTGCGACTACTATTGATTCTTGTGGTTCCCGTTTCAAAAGCGACAAGATCTCCGACTTGCAAATTTAGAATCTACCTGTTCTTAAATTTTGTAGGACTTCATGTTCCTTCAGTTATCCTGCTTTCTGCTGTTACTTGTTCTCTGCCAGTAATGAAAATACAATTATTTTTTTTTCCTGTTGTTAATGCCTTCTGGCTGTCCAAGTAAATTATATGGTTAACCTATAACTGCAAATAAATTACTGGGTTTGGAAAATCTTAAAAGGTAAACTATCATGCTTATCCTCACAAGTTATCCTCAAATGACAGGAAATCTAATGTCAAACCTTTTCAGACTACAGGTACAGATGAAGGTAAATTGGCTGGGTTATTGTGGGAAAACACAATTCTCACTGGCTAAAACTTAAGTGGCGTCATCTACCCCCAAGTGCCTTTCTGAAGCCTTTAGAATGTCCTCAAGGTGTTACAGACAGACTCGAATAGATTATAGACCATTTGGATTAGAGAACTCCTCCTGTTGTCGTCTCTAACGAAGTGGTGGGAATTCATTGGCTTTTTTGACATGCCTTCTAGTTTGTGAAATTGTTGTTGAAGCTGTTAGAACCTTTGGAATTCCAATCTGCAAAGTCAAACCTCTCCCTCAATAAGAATAGGAGTAAGCAAGCTAGCATTCTTTGGTTTAAGTCTCCTCTGCAAAGTTAAGGAGGAGAACAGTTTTCTTTTCACAGAGTTAGATTGCAGTTTCCCAAGGGAAGTTGATTCTTTTCTGTAATGGCATGAGGATTGTTAGAATTCTGCTGCTGCTGCTTTGTCCTGTGGTTCAACTTCTTGTTTACTCATTTCTTACTTCTCTCTTCTTCCCCAAGTATTCTGCCAGCAAGCTTTCAGAAGAGACCTGAAGAACCCTTTCAGAATTCTGTCACTCAGTGGGAAAAAAACCACCAGTATGTTTAGATATTAGAACAGGCTCATAGGAGGTTTGGAAACAAGTTTAGAAAGTATATTTTTCAAATTGGGCCAAATACTACTGGTAGGTATGAAGTAACCCTATTATTTTAAAATACTAGACTGGTACTTGGTTGGAAAGAAGTGAAAAGTCCTTTGAAGATGTCCATACAGGAAGAAAATACCAGGACAGAATGGCTGAATCGCTGTCATTTCTAGGCCAGTGGCCTCCTGAGTCCATGAGCTGACTGCTTAGTGGTGTCATCTTTAGAAAGGGAGATATATCTGTAACGTAAATGAATTTGTTTTGTCCCTTTGAAGTTTGGTCTGACCTATGGTCACTTCTTGACCACTTGTTCTGAAGGGAGTGCTAAGAAAAACAAAGTTGATTAAAGGAAGCTTGCAGAATTGCCATGTCTGGACTTAAGAACTAAGAAGTGTTGAGAACTGTACAAATGCGTACACAAACATGGTCCTAGATGTTAAGAATATAAATGTAGCCAGCCTGTATGTGGATTTTGTTTCTTAAGAAACAATTTTTTTTAATATCTCTTCCTCTCTACAGAATGAGAGTTAGTCTGTTACATTCTATGTATTCTATGATTCTCATGAAATGCTGGCCTCAGGCATCTTTGCCAGGACTGCAGCAATTTTACTTTTTGAAACTGTTACTTTTTAGTAGCGGTCCCAGAAAATAAAATTTCTAAAGTTCAGGGGGGAAAAAGGTATTTTAATGCTGTAATACCAAGTTCTTTCAGTGCCAGACCAACTTCACACAGAAAGTCAGCCTTGCCTAAAAATGGTTTACTACTATTACTGGCCTTCAATTTTCTAGGTTTTTTTCCTTATACCCAACATAAGTGCTAGCAGAGAATGAGGAAATCTGTAGTAATTATTGGTGTGCTCCTTCACTTGACAGTCTTATAAGAACAAATACTGCAGCTCTTGTGCCTATCAACATGTCAGACACGTCTTCTGAGTCCGAGTTCAGTATTTAAAGCTTTTTGTCCGTTGCTCTTACCTCCTAAATATCAGGAAAAAGATTTGAGTTGTCAGTTCAAATGTTCTTTTCTAAGTCATCTTGATAGGACTTCTGGCTCCCAATCCTCTGAGTTGTAATCAAAGCCCCTTTCTGGTGGAGTTTATAATAGAGGATAGAAATAATGCTTGTTTACTGTGTAGTCCAGGCTGACAATCGTATTGTCATTGTATTCATTGCCACTTAATAACACCTAAGGCATAGGGGAACGAAAGACTCTCGTTAAAGCAGTTACCAGGGCCACCCAGATATCTTGCCATTCTTTGACATAACGTCAGAAGCTAAGTAGTCTTTCCCTCCCCACTCCTTGGTACCTTGAGGCCTCCTTTATATGCTTTCCCACAAACTCCGCATTTACATTTTAAAGCCACTGAATTAGTGAGTAGGTTTGGTTCTGTTGTAGGCAAAAGTTATTGCTCTTAAGCTCTTTCTGAATTCCGCAGTAAACAGTCTGAAGCCTCTGGCTTACAAAGATGGAATTGGAAAAGAAAAACATTCAATGAAATGAACACGTAAGTTCTTGATAACTCTTGTTTTGCAAGTCTGTGGACCACTTTCTGGTACCCTGAAAGATACGACATGCAGTGGATTGTAATCTGATCAACAGTGAGGCCTTTCAAGCTTATGATATATTTCCTCTCTCTCTCTTCCTCTTCCTTCATCTGGTGGATGGCAGAGCGTAGCAAAGGAAATGCTAAATTCCAGTCATCAGAGCATAGCTTTGTCTTCCTCTATGTTGTGGTTACCTGGTAAAGCTCTGACCTGTGCCATTTTGTCAAAAATGTTAGCTGAATCAAGTTGTTGCTTATGTAATCGTTACTGGGAGTCTAATATTTAAAGTCTAATCCACTTCAGAGCTAGTTTCTTATTAAGAGCTTCAGTTATTCCTTTGCTCTAAAATGAATGCAGAGGTTTTTTTAAAACAATCTTAAACCTAACCATCCAAGACCTTTAACAAAACCACTAAATTGTTCTGGTCGCTTACCAAAAATGACTTTTGAATTTCCAGCTGATTGTTCTACAGAGTCTTAAGGCATGAAGTCAGGTGTTTGGAGCTGTATACATGGTAGTGTACTTCCTCCCAAAGCTAAAGGTCTATCTGTAGGTAGGTGCACCTCAAAGAACTTTATAGAGTTAATTTTTACCTTTCCCTAAGTAATTTATTAGAAATTCTGTTTAACTATTGGGGTTTTTTTGGGTTTTAATTTCTTTGGAGCACATTTTAAATGACATGTAGACAGCTGATGCACTCTATCTGTTCTATCATTTGAAATTTGAGTTCTGTGAAGCATACTGTTAGGTTGTCTGTGGAAGTGAAAAGTAGTAAAAATTTGGGGTTTTAACTTCTTTTTAGGGGCGTGAAAACACTGACATGCACACCCATGAAATTTTGTGTTTCAATTTATTGTTAAATATAATCAGATTCCTTCAGACAGTGTTCTTTTAGAGTTTGCCAGAAAAAGAAGACTGCTGCTTTGATAACTGTGTAACCTACTAATAAAATGAGAAGATATCTCCATTAACTGGAAGATTTTGTTACATCCCAAAGTCTGTCAGCAAAGGAAAAGGATTTTATATGGGCTAGTGTCTACATTAAACACAAGAAAAGTATCTGTAAAGAAGATTTTGTGTGCAGTATTGGCTGGCAAATACTGGCAAAAATAAAACTGATGTACTGATAAATAAGTAGAGGAATTAACATATCTGTGATAGTGTTTGAAATGTTTGAGTGTGTGTTCCTTTTGTTTAGAGATTTAAAAAGAAAACTTTGGCAGGATGGTTTTGCATAGCTCACCAGTATTCTGATCAATTCTCTGTTTGAGTGCATGGTATTACAAATTTGTAGCTGACCCGTGTTGTTGATAGTTAATCCTGCATAGAACTTAGCAGAAGAGCACGCCTACATATTGAATAATACTAGGATGCTGACTGTTGTGAGAGCAGTTACAGGACTGCAGGGTGAAAAACCACCCTGTTGCTTTCAAATTTTCTTGGAGTTACTCAGATAAATGTCAGATAAAGTT